CATTTATCATTTTCCTTCCACTTCACAATCATGTGCCACTTTGTGTTGGTCTATCACATAAAAGCCCAATAAAATACATTTTCACATCTTTGCTTGTAACATGACAAAATGTGGAAAATTTCAGGGGGCATGAATACCTTTTCAAGGCACCGTGTGTGTGTGTGTGTGTGCGTATATATATATATATATATATATATATATACATACACAGTGCATCCAGAAAATTTTCACAGCTCTTAACGTTTTCCACATTTTGTTATGTTACAGCCTTATTCCAAAATGGACTAAATTAATTTCTTTCCTCAACATTCTACAAACAATACTCCATAATGACAATGTGAAAGAAGTTAATTTTGAAATCTTTGCATTTTAATACAAAAATAAAAAAATGGAAAAAAAACACATGTACCTAAGTACTCATAGCGTTTGCCATGACACTCAAAATTGAGCTCTGGTGCATCCTGTTGCCTCTGATCATCCTTGAGATGTTTCCAGAACTTGATTTGAGTCTACCTGTGGGAAATTCACTGGAGAGATCTGAAAATGGCTGTGCACCGATGCTCCCCATCCAACTTGATGGAGCTTGAGAGGTACTGCAAAGAGGAATGGGAGAAATTGCCCCAAAATAGGTGTGCCAAGTTTGCAGCATTATACTCAAAATGACTTGAGGCTGTAATTGGTGCTAAAGGTGCTTCAACAAGTATTGAGCAAAGGCTGTGAATACTTATGTACATGTGTTTTTTTTTAGTTTTGTATTTTTAATAAATTGCAAAGATTCCAAAACGAACTTCTTTCACATTGTCATTATGGGGTATTGTTTGTAGAATGTTGAGGGAAAAAAATGAATTTAATCCATATGGAATAAGGCTGTAACATAACAAAATGTGGCAAAGGTTAAGCGCTGTAAATACTTTCTGGATGCACTGTATATACAGGTGAAACTCGAAAAATTAGAATATCGTGCAAAAGTTCATTTATTTCAGTAATGCAACTTGAAAGGTAAAACTAAGATATGAGATAGACTCATTACATGCAAAGCAAGATAGTTCAAGCCGTGATTTGTCATAATTGTGATGATTATGGCTTACTACTCATGAAAACCCCAAATCCACAATCTCAGAAAATTAGAATATTACATGCAATCAATAAAACAAGGATTGTGCATAGAACAATATCGGACCTCTGAAAAGTATAAGCATGCATATGTACTCAGTACTTGGTTTGGGCCCCTTTTGCAGCAATTACTGCCTCAATGCAGCGTGGCATGGAAGCTATCAGCCTGTGGCACTGCTGAGGTGTTATGGAAGACCAGGATGCTTCAATAGCGGCCTTCAGCTCTTCTACATTGTTCGGTCTCATGTCTCTCATCTTTCTCTTGGCAATGCCCCATAGATTCTCTATGGGGTTCAGGTCAGGCGAGTTTGCTGGCCAATCAAGCACAGTAATCCCACGGTCATTGAACCAGGTTTTGGTGCTTTTGGCAGTGTGGGCAGGTGCTAAGTCCTGCTGGAAAATGAAGTCAGCATCCCCATAAAGCTCGTCTATGGAAGGAAGCATGAAGTGCTCCAAAATCTCCTGGTAGATGGCTGCGTTGACCCTGGACTTAATGAAGCACAATGGACCAACACCAGCAGATGACGTGGCTTCCTAAATCAACACAGACTGTGGAAACTTCACACTGGACTTCAAGCATCTTGCATTGTGTGCCTCTCCATTCTTCCTCCATACTCTGGGTCTTTGGTTTCCAATTGAGATGCAAAAGTTGCTCTCATCAGAAAAGAGAACTTTGGACCACTGAGCAACAGACCAGGTCTGTTTTTCTTTAGCCCAGGTAAGACGCTTCTGACTTTTGTTGTTCAGGAGCGGCTTGACAAGAGGAATACGACATTTGAAGCCCATGTCCAAGATCCGCCTGTGTGTGGTGGCTCTTGATGCACTGTCTCCAGCCTCAGTCCACTCCTTGTGAAAGTCCTCAACACTTTTGAATGGCCTTTTCCTGACAATTCTCTCCAGGCTGCGGTCATTCCTGCTGCTTATGCACCTTTTTCTTTCACACTTGTCCCTTCCACATAACTTTCTATTAATGTGCTTTGATACAGCACTTTGGGAACATCCAACTTCTTTTGCAATTACCTTTTTAGGCTTTCCCTCCTTATGGAGGGTGTCAATGATGGTTTTCTGCACAACTGTTAGGTCAGCAGTCTTTCCCATGATTGTGATTCCTACTGAACCAGACTGAAAGACCATTTAAAGGCTCAGGAACCCTTTGCAGGTATTATGGCTTAATTAGCTGATTAGAGTGGGACACTTTGAGCCTAGAATATTGCACCTTTTCACAATATTCTAATTTTCTTAGATTGTGGATTTGGGGTTTTTATGAGCTGTAAGCCATAATCATCACAATTATGACAAATCACGGCTTGAACTATCTTGCTTTGCATGTAATGAGTCTATCTCATATATTAGTTTCACCTTTTAAGTTGCATTACTGAAATAAATGAACTTTTGCACGATATTCTAATTTTTCGAGTTTCACCTGTATGTATATATATATATATATATATATATACATATATATATATATATATTAAGTATACATTTATATAATGACTTTAATAACAGGTTTCCCTATAGGGATATACAGCAGTAATCTATATTTATATATTATGTATTAAAAATCTCAATCACACATGCTCTGTGAAATAATTCAGTATCAGGAATAGAATATTTGCTGGACTCATTTAATATGGATGCCACCAGCAATTTTCCAAAGAAAGCCAATATAAATATAAATCTGTCCTTTGGGAGTTATCACTCTTTTTTTTCCTCATGCTTCTGCCTCTGGAAAACACCGCCTATGAAATAGCCTTCCCAGCTTATCACTGTGTCAGTGTAATTGTGCCTTTCAGAATAAGCTTTTACAGTTGTTTTTTTTATGTATCAATTTAATGCAAAGCAGTGCTAGCATTCATAACGCATTCATTAGGAAACAAGTCCTGATGGGCAATTGGCTGCATAGCACAGTGTGCACTGGTCAGACTATAGTTTGTAATCAATATCTAGGTTTGACTAAAACTTCACAAGGACAGGAGGCCATAGAGTGACTACAACTTATTTTTTAATTAATGTATTATCATTATGACACTGTAAAAGCTGGATATAAGTGTAGACAATGTTTTATCTGGCCACATATGTGACATTATTATTTGGTGATAGAAAAATGTAATTATTTTTTTTAGTCATTCTGAATTGTGATGTCTTTGTGTAAAGAAACATATATTGTTCCTGATGTTATGCTTTTATTATTACCTTTTAATATTGTTGATTTCACCCAAAAGTTAGTAAGTCAGGTCTGAATGTTATGCTACTAATGTGAGTCAGATACACAGTTATTCAGTCAAGAAATGCCATTATGCTACATACTGTATGCCATGCATTTATGATTCAAGGGGGACACCCAATATAAATGGGGTCCATATTGGGGATACCTGATGTAAAGGGGGACTGTACTGGGGACATCTAATGTAAAGGGGGACACTACTGGGGACACCTGCTGTAAAGGGGGTCTCTACTGGGGACTCCATCTGGAGGGGGTGCAATTCTCCATCCTCACCGTGGGTGCTGTATGACCTTGTCCCCAGCACCACCTATGAATATCATTGACATTAACTTTTGGTTCCTGAAAATCGGCATGTTCGGTGTTTGAGGCAGCAGTTTTAACATGCCAGACGTAGCATGTTCAAATTTGGAACATAACACCTACATCTACATTTTCTTTTGCAGAAACCGATATTTTTATATCTAGATTAATCAGTTCCTTCAGTTTTGTCAAAGATTGCATATATTCTTAATTATTTAATCCCCTCCCCAGGGTCCATAGGCTGAAATACACTAAACACTGTCATGGCTTTTTGGCAGCTTTCCACTAGTACTCAGCTTCAGGTAGTACATGTACTATGGTCTTTTACTGATTTGATACACATTTTGAAGTCTTCCAAATATCAGGGGAATCTGGAAATCCTGCATGCACTAATATTAATCAATTACTCTACCACCTGAAGCTAGGCAAACATTGTGTAGACAAAATGAATAGCCTGATCAAGAGCCAGTAAGGCAATGAACTCCAGTAGGCTAGAAGAACCTCAGTCAAAAGTTCAAATAAAGTTTATATGAATATACTGAGTATTCCTTCATCAAGAAACAAGGTCTTTTTAATTTATTGCAATTTATATTAAGACTTATTCTTACTTAATATTCAATTCCAATGTTGCCACAGTTTCTATCCTATACTGAACATTTCAAATTCTGCACTGTGTGCTCAAAACAATGTGGACATCCCTCCCAATATTGGGTTCTGGCATTTCTTGTGAAATATACAATTAAAGCTACAGCATAGAAACACTAAATAGACAATTGTGTGCTTCCAACCTTATGGCAACAAAATTCTTTATAGCTATGATAATTAGATAAAATGATATTCAATTGTACCCTACTTTGTATGTTTATTAGTATATTGCTATTGCTATTTTAATCCTTTGCTAAACAGAACATGAAGACCATAAATTACCAGTGATTAACAAGTGGATATTGTGAAAAGTTTCTACCACAGGGGGGCAAAGACTGTTGATGTAGCACCATCATAAGAAAAGCAGCAATATCTGCTATCTGTAGCAAACTCTGCTACATTCAGCCAAGATTCCATTCGCCCCACATGAACTTTGCATTACATAGCATAAAAATCCCTCTGAAGGCATTAAAGAAAGAACTCTTTAATTCTTCATTCATTTCACATGTGCTACCTACAATTCCAACTTTTTTCACTGGTTACTTTTTCCGAGCTCATCCAGTCATAAAAATAGGACTAGAAATGTGAACAACTGTGTGGTACATAGTAAAATATTAAGGCATGCACATGAAATAATAAATTATTGAATAATCACTTTTGAAGTGTTTTTTTTTTAATGTTACAAGAATAATTAATGGATTTTATTTGTATTTTCAGGTGCTTTGTTTAGAAGGCCACATGACAAAAACATTAGGATACCTGGACCTGGGGGCAACAGGAATGGTAAAGAATGGCCCGTATGGTACCAACAAGCCTCACTCACTCCATCCATCCAGGGTTTTCCCCAGTGATCCATTCAAACCAGCAAAAACTCCAATGCAATCTCCCATCACTCCCTGGGAGTGGAGCAAAAATCAAACACTGCTTACTGGTGGGGTTGGTCAAAGAGCTAAGCGCAAACCTTCCTTGAAAACTGGGAGAACCAAGAAAATTTTTGGATGGGGAGATTTCTATTTTAACATCAAAACTGTCAAGTTCAGTCTGTTGGTGACCGGGAAGATTGTCGACCACATAAATGGGACGTTCAGTGTCTACTTTCGGCATAACTCCTCTAGCCTTGGAAATGTGTCTGTCAGTATTGTTCCACCTACAAAGGTGGTAGAATTTGACCTTCTACAGCAATCTACTTTGGATACCAGAGAAACTAAGACATTTAACTGTAGGGTGGAATATGAAAACACCAACAAAGCCTTGAAGAACAAACCCTGCCTCTATGATCCAGCCAAAAACTGCTATATGGAACATACCCAAAGTCATGCCGCGTGGCTTTGTGCTAAACCATTCAAGGTCATTTGCATCTTTATCTCCTTCTACAGTATTGACTACAAGCTGGTGCAGAAAGTGTGTCCAGATTATAATTTTCAAAATGAACATCCCTACTTTGGTTGATGGACATACTGACAGGGAGGTCAGAAAACTGGTTTATGGGAGGAAGGTGAGGTTTAAATGCTTTAGGTTTAAGGGTTTTTGTGTATGGTAAGGCAACCATATTTATGGTATTAATAAGAATGGGTCGTTCCAGATTGTACCCATATCAAAATGTTTTATTTATCACAAAACAAGGGTGACATAACAAATAGATGCATGACTCTGCCCCTGATACTTTTAGGACGATCTGACCTATCAAGTAATTATCTGGAACATCTAAGTTATCTTATGTCATCACCTAATAATTTAACTACTCAAGTGCTCTGTTTTTTGAAAATCACCTCCGTATCACAAAAAAAACTGCTGCCAATCATTTTTGTTTTTCTTTATTGGTAAAGAGTTACAGTGAAACAACAGTTCTTCAAGTAGCAACAAAAGGACCCTACGAAACAAAAAAAGGAAATACAACACAATAAAAACAGTTATATGCTCATCATGAATGTATTTAGGTTTAATATTTATTTTTCTAACATGTAGATCAGTTTTGATGAGTGATGTCAAATTATACATCTGGATGACAGTTAACAGGTGCACAAGGATAAAAATTGGATTATTATGTACATAGTGATAAATGGACAACAATGTTCCCATGGGAGGCATATTTCATAAAAGGCTGCCTGTGTCTCTTCTAGAGTTTTTTATCATTATAAAAATGTCTTCTCTCTTACTGAGCTTATTTTATTTTTGCAATTCATCACTAAGATAAATGAAAACTAATGCTGGAAAATAATTTGGCATTAGGTGTCCCACAGATACATACAGTATGTCCACTAAATTCAGCAAAATATTTTTTATGTCAAATTAAGAACGAAAAAGTACAGACAGAATTTAGACACACAATTTTCTTAACTCATATAGTGCTCCAAAACAGTGCTTAAAGGGCTTTTATACGTTTGGTCACTTGTGAAAAATAACTTCATTATGATCACAAACATAAACTGATAGTATACCTCCCTCCATCCTATTAATCAGCTACTTTGTTCAGAGCCACCAACAGGCCCAAGATTAGTAGATTGGAACTACATGGCTTTTCCAGCTTGCTGCAAACCTGCTTTTGAAGCTCACTGAATGGTACTTGGTTTCTGAAAACAAGCTGTGTCATGCCAGTCGTTGTATCTGCTTGGAACTATACTAACTGCTTGGAACTGTATGAATTTTCTGGCCCTATGTAGCCTGGTTTTAATTGCCTATCACTGGGTTTAGAAACCTGTTGCCTTTAAAACCTTTGCTTAAAACAACTGCTTGGAGCAAAGCAGGATGGAGCTGGGGTGGGGCAGAAAAGACAAAAAGGGGTTTATTTACTAAAGTTGGAGAGTGCAAAATCAGACTCACTTCTGCATAGAAACCAATCAGCTTCCAGGTTTCATTGCCAAAGCTTCATTGAACAAGCTGAGGTTAGAAGCTGATTGGTTTCTATGCAGAAGGGAGTCTGATTTTGGACTCTCCAGCTTTAGTAAATAAACCCCAAAATGTCATCCATGAATAGTTTATATAGCAAGTACTCTGAAGGTGGAACACTTCTTTAAAGGAGATAGCTGATGTGCTGTGCACAAGTATACTCATTATGAAAAAGCTACTTGTAATTTCATGACACAATATTTTGTTATTACGAAATGAAGGTGACAATTAGCAAGCCAATTATCAGCCAGGAAAAGTCATTTTAGACTACCTCTGTAGATAGTTGGCCAATGTATGGGCTACTGGTGACTTAACTCCAGCAGCTATAACCCTGAATACCTAATAAATAGGGGCAGATTTTATAGTCATATGAAGGCCTCATTAGTGTGTTTGTTTGGTTTTCATGTGACTGTTTGCTGTCCCCAAAACAATATAGGCATTCTGAACCAATATCCATCCATATCCAATCAGTTTAGCCATGTCGGTGGAGTAAAATCAATGGATGGCCTATGCATGACCAGTTTATAAACATATTTCATATTGCTTTCCATAGCCATATTAAACAAATGGTGACTTACCAGTCTCTCTTGTCAGCATATTATATGGCATCCAAAAAAATTAATGCCACTTGTTACACAAATAAAAGTGTACCTGTAACAGAGTAACACATATCTTCAACAATGTGTACTCTATATGTTTCAAAAGTGGTTTTCTTTTGCCAAACATGATCTCTTGATTAGTAGTGATATCTCTTTACTAGTCTTGTTACACACAATTTTTATTACTTCTTTATGCCAGTCAGGTAATCTGTGAGGAATGTACTAATATTCTGTTTTACTCACACAGGCCTTGCAACTAAAGCTCATATCACATTATGACACTGTTGCTATTATTCAATAAAAGGATCTTATTCTTATCCCTATAAGAAACTCTGTCCATGTTTGGCCATCTGTATTATTCACCTCCAGCATAGAATTGTGGCATTTCAAAACCTGGTGCACATGTATCATTTCCAAGCTTGTTGAAGGGAAACGCTCTCCAATCTAAATCTTAAAGGCCAACTGAACTTTTGTTTAAAAAAAAAATCAATATTGTAATGAGCCCAGCATACTTATTAAATTAACAGTATATATCGTATATAGTACCTCTTTTCCACATAATCTTACATTTTGCTATGGTCTGCTTATTTTATTATTGTTGCGAAAATCAATAAAAATGGTGCTAACTTGCATCATCTGTGGTTGACCATTCAGGCGTATTATTCTGTGCTCTACAAGTCTTAGCGTTCAATGCACCTGGAAAACGTAGCCAACCAATTGGCTAACAGGCGGGAGGGACCAGCAGAGAAGGAGCCATTTGGTCGAAACCTAAACATAACAAAATCTTGCTTGATATTTATTGCCAGCTTCATCCAAATGTGCAAAGCCAGAGATGGGCGTAATATTCTTCTGTTTAGCTCTATTGAGATAAATAGTAAGCGCGTGAATGCTGCTAAATTTTATTCGCATGTCTTCCAAATGGCCTATAGGTAGATGGTATGAACAGAGGTGGAGTTAGTGGTGTAGGTTCATTGAGTATTGAGACTTATAGAATACAGAAGCATACTTCTTTTGTCCTCATTCCTCTACAGAGTTAAAGCGTTACTAAACCCAGGACCCTGCATTCACTATATCTGGTCTCCCACAGTACACAGAACATGGAAGTGCAATTATTTTAGTAAATATAAACTGCTAAATACCTTTCCTCATCAGCAGTTAGAGCAGTATTTTGACTTCTATCAGTGTCCAGCTGAGCACTAGTTAAAGCTTGTAGGAGGAGTTTTCATTTTGCTCTAGGAAGATGCAGAATCCCTGACTTCTGTCTGGACAGTGCTGATTGGCCCTGTGCTGATCACATGCACTCTCCCAAGAAAAAAATTAACTCTAGCAATACACACCAAACTGAGCATGTGCAGAGTGACTCCACACAATATGTCTTATCAGGAGATAAGAGGGAGGCACTAGAAGAAGGGGAGGAACAGAGAAGACAGGATCAAACAGCCTTTTTACACAATGCAAAGGATTAACCCCTTAGGTTCCACAGTGAGTATAACAAGCATGAGTTACTGCATATACAAACTGATTTTACTGTTGTGGGTTTAGTAACACTTTAAGTAAGGGCAATCATGGCTAAATCTTAGTTTATATAAAAAATGTAAATGTGTGCTATGCTCAAAAAATGAATTGGATTTTTAAATAGGTGTAGTTTCCTTTAAGGTTTAACTCCAATACAATGCAATACACAAATAATGCAGCTGTGTATTTATGATATGCATACCTAAATTTTGCTCGGTATCAACCTCTTGCATTCCTTTGTACAGCAATGCTCATCAATGTGCTGCTTCTCCTTTCATTGTCCTGTCACAAGCTGGGAGATCAACAAGACCCACAAGAGCTACTTAAATGCTAAAAAAAAAATAATAAATACACATATTTTTTGCAGGTAAAAACATTTGCATTTTTTTTTTTACTTGGAGCCTAGAAAGCATGGTACCCGCAATCAGCAAATGCTGGGTGCCATGCAGGACTCCGGCAGACTTGTCAGTTTATCTGCGTGCTCGTGCCTCGTATAGGCATGCAGATACACACTGACAGGAAGAGACAATAGACTAGCACAGTGCTCAGCAGCGCCATGATAGTTCACTGAGAACTACAAACCGCTATCGGATGTTGGTACTTGTAGTTTTCCATTCACAGAATTCTGTTTTTTTTTTGGTTTTTTTTTAAATAGTGACAGCTAATGGGGGGGGAGAAGAGCCCCCACTAGCTGTCACTAGATGCAGTGGAGCAGGCAGTGGCTCTGGCAGAGGGAAAAAAACATATGTAACATGTAATGTGAACTTACCCTTTAACTGCAAAATCAGGTCTCTTGCCCAGTCAGATGGGACTGTGCTATGTGGTAAAGCTTGTAAACCTCAGGACTGAATGGACAGAAATACAAATTCTTTGGCAAATAAAACAGTTCTAATATATGCATTTCATCTGTATATTCAGCCATTTGTGTGGAGTTCAGCTTTTAGGGTTCTACACAGGCTTGAAATTTGAAATCTACACAAACCATTACTCAGTGAGCGATAGTTTCATTCTATAGTTTCTGTGTATTCATTACAACAATAACAGAACAAACAGCTAGTTTAGGTTACTTTAGCACCGGCTTAATTTTAGGGGTTACAATAATATAGGGTCAGGGATTGGGGGGTTTAGGATATGTTTTAGGGTTAAGATTGGATTTAATTGTAAAACCGTGAAGGAACCTAAAGGTACTTGCACATACCTGTGGCAGCCTTTAATACCCTGATTTTAATCCCAAGTCATTCTGACATGCAGAGCTTTAGCACTTCATGATATTAACAAAGTTTACCCACCACTCCCTGTCTCCAGCATATTCCTTTTGACTAGAGAGGCTGACCATCAGAGGCAGTAGGAAGGTGTAGCGAGTGGGTGATGGTAGCAAACTCCCCAGCTATCCATGAATGTCCAACCTATTTATTGTCAGAAAGGCTGTTGTAAGTATGTGTGGCTCCT